CTATTCAGCAATTAAACGAAATAAACCATTAATATACTCATGTGTTGGGATTCCCAGGATCACTTCTGTCTTTAGAGATTTACTAAAGGACTTACTGTGACTCCGTATATATTTGTATTCAAGGCTAAGATTTATAACCGCAGCATAGTAAAGATACACAGCTGGATCATAAGGGGAAAAGAGACAGATGGAGTCTGGAGGAATCCGTGTGCAGGTCCCTTTATTCTCTCTCCCATGGGAGAATTCATAGATTGGAAGACTCAGTTTTGTTAAGATGTCAGTTCTCAAATTAGTCTGTAGATTCAACACAACTCTTACCAAAATTTCAGCAGACTTTACACAGAAGTCAGTAAAGTCCTCAAAATTAGACATGTCGAGGATGAGAATAATCAAGACAGACTTGAAGTACATAAGTACTTGATTTTAAGACTTAAGATCAAGCCATAGTGGTTAAGAGAGTATGACCATAGTATTAAGACAGCATAAAGACAGATCAGTGTAACATAATAGAGAATGTAGAAAGAGGCTAACCTAAGTACAGTGAATTGATTTTTTTGACACAAGTGCCAAAGCAATTCAATGCTAGAAAGAAAGCCTTTTAATTAATGCTGGAACAAGTGGATTTTTTTGGAAAAAAATGAGCCTTGCCCCCTATGTCACAATATAAACAGATTAATTTGGTGTCAGTTACAGACCTAAATGTAGAAAATAAAAAACCTAGGAGAATATCTTCATGACCTTGGGGTCTGTAACTATGAAAGAAAAACTTGGCAAATTGGACTTCATCAAAATGAAAAACTTTTCATCAAAAGACATACAAAAAGTATTAAAAATACAGATTAGGAGAAAATAATATGCCCTACATATATATCTGACTTAAGACTTATGTCTAGAATACACAAAAAATTAGTATAATCATTGATGCCACAACAAACCCATTTTTAAAAAATGGGCGAAATTGTGAATAAGCACTTCACAAAAGAATTTATTGAAATGGTCAATAAACATGAAAGGTGTACAGTGTCATTAGGGAAATGCATATTAAGACCACAGTGACATACCAGTATGTATCCAGCAGAATGACTAGGATTAAAAAGATTGACAGTATCAAATACTGCTGAGGTAGAACCAACTAGAAGCTTATACACTGTTGGTGAGGGCCTATATATTCTTACTCAGTTCCCTTGACTCTTAAACTAGATCAAGATTGAGAGCAGTGGTGCTCAAATTCAGATGGCCAAGAATTCATAGCAAATATGATAAAGTGATATATGTGTGCTAATAAGATTCTTGGTTACAAGTGACCCAACTTGGTCCTACTTAAACTCAAAATGATGACTACATTATCTTAGGTAATCGAATTCATGAGTGGGTTAGGTCAGGCTCTCAATTATATACCATGGAATACTATTCAAATAAAATAGTGAAGTTAAGAATTCAAACAGGAATCTGCTTCTCTGTTCTTCTCTGGAATGGCTTAATTTCGAGACTGAACTTAGTCGTAGGGGCCACATGCAGCTTCCGGCACTGAGTGCTCTGTGTACCTGAATATCTGATAGTGCCATCCTTGTCCTTGATTTATGTCTGGAATACGCTAATTCCTTATACCTCAGCATGTTTCAGGTCTACCCCTCTTTCAAGGCCCGGCTCAAGTACCACCTCCATCAGAAGCCCTCTCTGAGATTATTTGACTTGCATTCGTTTCTCTCCTTTGCTTTTAGCTGTTATTTGTTGTTCACCGCTTTTCTTTGCTTTAAGTTCTTCAGCTCTTGATAACCTTACTGAACCTAGTGGAGTGCCGGACACACTGTAGGCTTAATAAATAATGGACAGTTATTGCATGCTTGAATTTTTTTTTTAATTACCTGTTGCAGTCCTTTAATTGTCTACCAGTACCAGATATTTGTAAGGTGGCCTTAGGAAAATCCTGTCTGTATACACGTACCTTACTGCCTCCCAGTCACCCTCTGATGGAGCTTCAGCATCTGTTAGGTGGCATGGTCATGTTTGTTTGTTCGTTTTTACTTTTTCTTTCTTTTCTTTCTCTGCACCCATTGTGGGGTTTGAACTCACCCTGAGATCAAAGTAACATGCCCCACCAGCTGAGCCGGCCAGCCAGCCCACCAGCCCCCCAAGCGTGTTCATGTCCGTTACACAGATGCATCACAATAGCAGTGTTAGTGTGCTGTTGTGACTGTGTATCAGCCTTTTCTTTAATATCCATTTTCAGTGGAAGCAAAAACACCCATTCTTTTTTTTCTTTTCATCTAATTCAGTAATCATTTGCACTCATCTAGTATAATAGTGGTTCTCAAACTTTAATGTGCATCAGAATCACTTAGAAGGCATTTTATTTATGTCTTTATACTATTTTTTATTACAATTTGCCAATGGCACTTTATTTCTTCTTCTCAACATCCTGTTCTGCAGCTTCCTTGGCTCTTTTTGCTTGCCCGGGCGCCAGAGCCGAGCATGGGCACGGGCCATGTGAACGCTGGCCAGATGCTTGCAGTTCTCCTCCATTGTGACTCCAGCTTTCTCCTTCTTGGAGACATTCCATGTAGGCATGACTGGTCCTGTCAGCTGGGTAGCCAATTTGAGGTCTTCAGCAGAGCTGTCTCCCTTCTTGGGGGCCAGGGGCTTCCTGGGAAGAGGGAGGATGGGCTTGGAGTAGTACTCCTGTAGCGCTGCGTGCTAGCCTGCAGGAACTCTCTGGACCTGTTCCACCTTGTTGGATCCACTGAGATCGCAGTCGTCTGTGCCACCTTCTTGTGGATGCCAGCCACTCATAACTCTTTTGAGCTGAAGCCCCTGCCAGCTTGCACTTTGGTGTAACGCCTCACGGTGGGGCATCTCACTGTGCCCTGCGGTCCAGACAGGGCCCAGGTGGATCTGTGGATCTTCCGTGCTGGCTGGTTGAACTGTGTGACCATGCACCATTGCCAGTCCTTGTGGAAGGGGGGCTTCGGGGTCATGCCGTTCTGGCTGGGTGCCATGGCTCCTCCAAGGGGAGGGGACAGCCAGTGGAAAGGGACTGGCACTGCAAAGCCACTTAGTAGGCATTTTAAAACATGAATTGCTAGGCCTCACCTCCAGAATTTCTGATTTGGTATGTCTGTGATGGGCTGAAAAATTTGCATTTTTAACACCTACTCAGCTGATTCTAATGCTGGTGGTCAAGGAAACACACTTTGAGGACCAGTTTCCTAGTGAATTTAACCCTCATTCCACATCACAATCACCTGAGGAGTGTATTTCCCCTCTCCATTTTCAGAACTGGACTTTGCTCAATTATGTAAAAGTGTTTGGAAGCCCTGCTAATAAGCATGGTGTTAGTGGGATTTTATGAGTATTTCTAACAAATAGAGACAATTGCTTTACTTCACATCTACATAGCACCTAGTGATGAATATAAATGGATGTGGTTTGCTGGTTCTCCCAAAATAGGTATGCCTAATTCTGGCAGTAATTTACTTTGGTCTTGGCCAATTCCCATAATTTTTTTTCCCCAAAGCCTTGGTTTTCTTACTTTTTTTTTTTTTAAGGTTTTGTTTTTAAGTAATCTATACACCCAGCGTGCAGCTTGAATTTACAGCCCTGGGATTAAGAGTCACATGCTCTTCCAGCTGAGCCAGCCAGGTGCCCCAGTTTTCTTATCCTTAACATGACATTAAAAACACCTTTCTCATCATTTTGCAGTTATCATTGTAAGAGTTGTCAATGGATGCTAAATCTGGGGATTGGGGCAAGATCCTTAAAAATTTTTGCATGGTCTCGAAGTGTCTGCTGCAGATCACTTAATAGTTGCAAAGGGGGAAAAAGTAACTACTGTCGAGAGACTGGCTATCATTTTGACTGGGTGATTAAAGTGAACATCATCAGGGGCACCTGGGTGGCTCAGTCGTTAAGCATGGGCCTTCAGCTTAGGTCATGGTCCCAGGGTCCTGGGATCGAGCCCCATGTCGGACTCCCTGCTCAGTGGGGAGCCTGCTTCTCCCTCTCCCACTCCCCCTGCTTGTGTTCCCTCTCTCTCTGTGTCTCTCTCTGTCAAATAAATAAATAAAATTATTTAAAAAAAAAGTGAACATCATCAGTGAGGGGAAGGTGGACATCGTGTCTCTAAATGGTACCATTACAGGGACGCAGCATCACTAACGGAACAGACTGACTGATAGTGCACAACTGCAGTCTAATCATAAGTGAACATCAGACAAACCCAAAGTGAGGAGCATTCTATATTTTTTTTATAGTTTTTGTTTTCCTCTTAAATATGTCATAAAACACATAAAGATTGAGGGACTGTTCCAGATTAAAGGAGATTAAAGAGACATGATAGCTAAGAGCAGTATGTGATCCTAGACTGGTTCCTGTACTAAAGAGGAAAAAGCGCAGTCAGGGTTAGTGGTGGGATATGGTGATAGGTTAGGTAAAAAGTATGGTATCAGTTTTGAGTTTCCTGAGGTTGGTAACAGTACTGTTATGTAAGATAACCTCTTGGTTCTTAGGAAACACGCATTGAAATACTTAAAGGCAAAAGTATATGATGTGTGTAACAATCTCAAATGGGTCAGGAAAATATATATATGAGGGACGAGATGAAGCACATGGAGCAAAGATACAGGTATTCTTTGTACTATTCATTTGAGTTTTTTGAAAGTTTGAAATTATCCCCAAATTGAAAAAAAAAATTTTTAGAGCACCTTCTTTTCATTTCAGGGTAGTTATAAAGAAAAAAAAATCTGTATAAAAATGTTTTCAAAGAGCATTGTGCTTTGTCCAAGTAGCTTCATATCTCATTCTGTGGATATTCTCAACTAGGTTGCTGGCTTCTGAGGGCCCGGCGCAAGGCCAGCGTTGCCCTGCATTGTAATAGGTACTCCCTCTTAGCCGGGCGGCTTCCTGAGTGCCCAGTGTGGCCACGCTCCACTAGAATGTCACCTGACCCTAGTCTGTTGTTAGGAATTGTCCCTTTAGCTCTGAAAAGTATATTTTTCTTTCAGCCCAAAATGGAGTTAATTCTGACTGGGAGAAGAAAGTAATTGAATATTTTAAGGAAAAGCTGAAGGAAAATAACGCTCCTAAATGGGTAAGTTTATTGCTATTTGCAGGGGAGAGGGTTGGGCTGACTTTCAGTTTCTCTCAGTAGAGTCGAGAGATTTATTTAGTAGGCTAAATAAACTCAGTAGGCTCAGTAGAGCCTAAAATCCACATAAAATTTTAGGATATGTGCTTCTGAAGCGAGCACTAAAATTTAAAACTATGTACATTAATGTGTACTGTCTTTTGCTTTAAGTGCGTATATATTGAAAGATTTTGCCCTCTTCAGTTGAAATTTAAATTCAAGCAATTCAGTGCTTCTGTGTTGTGCCTCTAGGTGGCAGTAATTGACCATGTTACTTTCTAGGACCAAAAAAAAAAAAAAACAGTAGTTGTGAGAGTCCCAGATATCTTTGTTTTATTTCCTTCATTTAAAGAGAATTGGCATGTACTCGTTTTAAGAGAAGAGCTCAACAAAGCAAATGAGTTTCTGCTACTTGAGAAGTATTCTTAAGGAAGAGCATCCTTTTACATTAGAGTCAGATGTCATGATACAAACTTGGAAGAACATAAAAAATACTTTCGTGCTCAGCACTTTTGTTGTGTTGATTGTTGAGATCACTGGTTTCCTAATGGGGCTTGGTGTGTGTATGTGTGTGTTTTGGGGGGGTGGTTCTGGATATATAGTCTCTGTATATGTGCTTAACATTTTACAGATAAGAGTATTTTATTGACTTGTTTTCCTTTAAGGTACCATCACTGAATGAAGTTCCCCTTCATTATTTGAAACCTAACAGTTTTGTGAAGTTTCGTTGCATGATTCAGGATATGTTTGACCCTGAGTTTTACATGGGAGTTTATGAAACGGTTAACCGAAACACAAAAGCACGTGTATGTATTGCTTTTCTTCATGAAACTTTCTGTTTATAATTATTGGTATTAATTTTATTAATATAAACATAAGCACTCTCCTTGTGTTGTTTATGGTGGTTTTGATTCAGATATACTGATACGATGCTGTTATCCTTTGTTTTGGATCATAGGTCCTTCATTTTGGAAAATACAGAGATGTAGCAGAGTGTGGGGTATGTATCCTTAAGATATATAAAATATTTTAATAAGAATTTCTTCTTAAGCAGTGAATTTCTTTTGGTTGATCTTACGTGTATTTTGTGTGTAAATAAGTTCTAAGAAGTCGTGAAATGTTTTATTTACCTTTTATTTAAGTTTCTCTGGTATGTTTTTGATCTTTTAAAAATCTCTTAGGTTGAGTATTGTAAATAACAAAACTAACTCCTTTTCCTTCTGTCTATATACTTGCTTTCAAAATCAGAGGTTATGATAAATTCTTTAAAAGTGGAAGATTAACTTAGGGCTTAACACTTGCTTAATTAAATTTCATTAAATCCTGCCGCCTTTTCCTAGGAGGAAAAAAGTTTTTAATAAATTTAAACTTTCTTTGATAAAGAGAGGTAATGGAAACTTACGTATCAGTAATGGGAGAGGCAAGAAGGCAGAGGACACTAGATATAATTATGGTTGTGAAAGGGATAGTCTTGAGGTAGAAACTTACTGGAAAAGCAGTTGTAAAGGAACTAGAGTATATCTGCATTTTTTAAAATTGGTTTTTCATGTGGTTCTACTGAAACTGATGGTAATTGTCAGTTTTGGGGGG